CAGGCCCGGGAAATTAGATGTCAAAGGGAGTTCAGAATTTTATCAAGAGACTCGAGAAACAGAAACCAATTGCCGTTTGTGACCGTGACCCACCCAGGTGAGGTTGACGAGTGTAATTGGATTAAGGTCGTCTTTTCGTGAGATTCGGTGGTCGTGTTGTCGTTTGTTGATTCAGCTCTACCTCGTCGGAATGCTCGGTCTGAATTTAAGAAATTTCTCACTTTCCATGTTATCCTCCGATCTTCGCCCTGATTGATGAGGGGCCGTCTTTGTGTGCAGACTACGTACACAGTTATGTTGACAAAATGACTTTACAATTTGTGGCCCGACTATTACAGTGTGGTTCCAACGTGTTCGTGACACCGGTAGACAGAGGAATCAAAGGTGATGTCATGAAGCTACGCAAATGACATTTAATACAGATCTTCCTTTATATCAACCATGAGACTGGTGTCTGGACGAAAAGAACTGTATCTCCCCTTGTAATTTATGTTTTTTTATTTGTGTATCTATTTTTCACAGGTTTGGCATAGTGTTCAAATAAACCACAGTCCTAAAGATAAATAGTCGTCGCCCGCGTGTCTGTGGGAGAAACTTACGGTAGCACTTAGATCAGTTCTCGACGAGATTTTGACAGGGTGTATATGGTGGGTGACTGATGTGTGTGTGTGTGTGTGTGTGTGTGTGGTGTGTGTGTGTGTGTGTGTGTGTGTGTGATGTGTTGTGTGTGTGTGTGTGTGTGTGTGTGTGTGTGTGTGTGTTTGGTTGTGTGTGTGTGTGTGTGTTGTGTGTGTGTGTGTGGTGTGTGTTGTGTGTGTGTGTGTGTGTGTTGTGTGGGTGTGTGTGTGTGTGGTGTGTGTGGTGGTGTGTGGTGTGTGTGTGTGTGTGTGTGTGTGGCTAAATTATCCAGTCTCTCTCTGTCTCCCTTCTCTAAAATTGGTTTATTTTTTAGGTTAAGGGCGCAAGAAATAATTACGGTTAGTCAGTCGTTTATTAATGTCATGAGTAATACACCATCGTGTTGTTTGTGAACCTAACCTCAGTGTGTGATGTGGACTTTGACAGAGTAATTTGTCCAATAAGATTATACCTTATAGTGAATGTTCTACCAAGGGAGATTACCGATGTAGTCTTCACAGTCCTGAGGAAAATTTTGTATATTCCGACGAAAATTGAGTTGAGAAAGTTTCAGTGCCAAGTGACACCAAAGAACTGACACAGACGGACCCCCGACTGTGGTGTCGCCTCACGTCTCCTGCGTCTTGGCCATGTGTCGCACTGGAACACACCGCAAAGACTTCAGCCGACGGCCAAGTAGCACGTACGAACTGCGCATGCGTGAGTGGCAATAACTCTCCTTACCAGCAGGCGGCGGTAGTGTGTATTCGTCATTCAAAAGAGGCAACAACCGGAAGACAGACTGCTTGATACACAGAGAGAAGAAGAACAGACTGCGTGATATAAACAAACAACAAATAGCATGTTCCATTTTCCCTCTACAGCGAGAAGCTCATGGGGCTTTCCCCAACCTGTGTCGAGAGCTGGAGGTAAATGAAATCTCAGATTTGCCTTCTTAATAGTTTGTTTGGGTCCCTCACGTCCGTTTCGCTTCTCATGCACTGATTCGCTAGCTGAACAGCCAATCAGAGTGATTTTTTTAGCCGACAGCCTCTCGATTCACCATGTCGAATCGGCGGCGGAAGGTGTCGGCACGGCCGAAAAGACACAACGGTGCGGTACACACCAATCTGAGTAGGGCGACACGACGCTCATCGATGGTCCGACATTTATCGACGCCGAAAACCGGCTTGGTGTGTAAGGAGCTTCAGGTCTTCTGGGACGGCTCTGCTCTCTGTTACAAGAGTCAGAACTAAACATGGAGAAGCAGCGTGTAGTTTGTATGCCCCGACCATCTGGAACAAAGTCCCTGAATCCTGCAGGTCCGCTGCAACTGTTAATACGTATCTTTTTGACGCTGCATTTGAGTGAGTTGTTCATATTCACACTGCAGTATGGCTTTTATTCATGTATGTTATACCTGTTGTGTTTATTTTATTATTATTATTTATTAGTTTTTAAATGCCATTTTATAATGTGCTTCTACTGTATTTATTCTTAAATGTCTTTTATTTTATTTTTGTAAAGCACTTTGGGTTGCCGGGTGCTGAAAGGTGCTATATAAATAAACTTGCCTTGCCTACATCATATGAGGATCAGCTCAAGAGACAAGGCTCTTAGTGACGTGTTGGTTACCTGTGACGGGGTGAAACCAGACATCCTGAAGGCGGAGTGGACCAGAGGAACTTCAGCTCTCAGCAGCATCTCCACGTAGTGAGCAGTACACCAGTACATAGGAGAGATTCCTGACTCAGCCACTTCCACAGGAACATGGATCTGTCCAGCAAACAAAACCAGAACCATTTCAGATTCAAAACAGAGCTTCAGTGAATAGTGTCCAATTGATCTTGTTCTGCTGTTCTGGGGATATTTAAACACGAAACAACATCGTTTACAAGCTCCTCGTTCTGTATTCAGTGCAGATAAAAACATTCTTGAATACTTTTATTCACCTTTGTCGAGTAATAAATAGAAATAACATGTTGTTTTGTGTTCCAATACAAGTTTCCCACATTCCCTGCTAAGCTCGCTGCTGCCTTAATTATCTGTGGCCTTTCCATTTTCCGTGATATTGACAAAATCGACCACGTTGTGAAGTCAGACACTAACTGCGGTGTGGAGAAATTCACTGTGTGCATCCAACACACTGAGAACACGTAACACACGTTCAGACGAGTCCAATTGAGCTGTATTGACTTTGACAAGACGACAAGATTACAGAGGTTGGTCTAATGATTGCAAAACGTCTCCCCTGCAATTTAAAATGATTGAAACTAGACTTCATTTCAGACTTCTAACGCTGCTGTCATTTTGTTTTACTTCTTTACTTCTCCCTTCTCCCCTCATTTATCTCTTCTTCTTCCTCCTCCTACAACTCCTCCTACAACCCTTCCTCCTAAATGAGGCTGTTAACATTTGGGAGGTGGACTCTGTGGACATGCAGACACGCCTTATTTCATTTAGATTAAGTATAGGGTTTACTGTACTTTATTGAAAATGTCAAGGTAAAGGCTTAGGGAGGAGGCTCTGTTTGACATAGATAAAGAAACTGTCAAATGTATAACAACCTACTGGAAAAATAGTTCATTACCTTAATTGATTAATTGGTTATCTTAACAACCTATCATTACAAGTGTAAAATGGAGATGAGCTGTCTGGAATAGTTTTTTTTTGAGGACTTAATCCATTCAATCGTAATTAAAATGTTTGAAAAGCCCCAATCTGGAAGTTATAGATAGGACCTATCCAATTGATATTTTTCCCTTAGGGGTTAAAGCAAGTCATTTCAATTATGTGTATGGTATTTGTACATTTAAAATGAATTTTCAAAGCTAATACATCTATACAAATGTCATCAATAAAATGACCAGGTTTGAAAAGAGCATTTTAATACCAAAATTGTAAAAAGCTGTTCCAGTCTTTAGAAGAAAATATGTCACTAACTAATTTAACACTTGAACACTTTGTAGCCCACATTTACATTTGACCTTTTCAAAGGAATCTCTTGGCAGCAGCACCGTGACTGAAGTCTTCTCAAACCAAGACAGGGACAAAACATTAAAGCTGAAACACGCTCTGTAGGATAATTCATGACTTTTTCAATGCTTCTTAAGTGCTAAATTACTGCATATTCAAATCCTAAACTGTGCTAATAACTACAAATAACTCCACTACGTGTATTGGGGTTACAGATGGAGTCCAACACGAGCAAGCTACATGAATGTCTGGGAGCAAATTCATTTTATATGCTACACAAATATGGCCAGGATCTGTTGAATCTTTTGATTATTGGGTTGCAGATTAGAATCAAAAGGGGGGTTCGTTGAGCATGAAACACTTGAAATGACTAAAGGATCAATTAAAAAAGAAAGTAGAAAGAAAGTGAGGTCAAAGAAAACTATTTCTTCTAAAAGGTTAGCAATGATTGAGAGTCAGACCTGAACATCGCTTTGCCTCCGTTGCTCGCTTCAAAAGTTGAGAAAAGTTCAACTTTTCAAGCTTCGACGGAAGCGTCAGCCAATCAAATCATATTCCAGCACAAGCTCTAGCCAATCAAACCGCGTGCTTGTGTGTCCGGGGCGGGAGATTAATGCGATTGGTTGTTGGTCGCGCGCCAGACACGCCCACCGGCAAGCTTCAACGCACGCTGCCGTGTGGACATACCGTAATTCATGTACCTTTGTTATTCATGTTTTATTATTTTGAAATGCCATTTCATAATCTGTTTCTTAATGCTCTTAATGTCTTTAATTTGTGTAAAGCACTTTGAATTGCCTTGTGTTGAAAGGTGCTGTATGAATAAACTCGCCTCGCCTCGCCTTAGACAGCACTGTAGTTGCGTTTGCACGTTGTTATACTCACAGAGGCATGTATCCTCGCTGGCCAGATGAATGCAGAAGTGAGCAGAGAGGACAGGTTGAGCAACAGCTTTAGAGAGCGGTCCATGTTCCCCGCCATGATGAGAAACACTGTGGAGGCCAGCCAGTCGTAGCCCGGATACCCGTCCTGATGAGTGACTGGAGGCAGAGTTAAAGAGCCAAAGGACTGATGGAAAAGATACTCAGACTCACTGCAAAGCTACAAAAAAACATCTCTCCTTAGATTTGTTTTGCAACATGAAAGTGGTACATTGATGTGACGGATATATGTGGAGCCATACAGTGTTTATGTTATCTTAAAGGAGCCTTCTGTAACACAGCTTTAAAGGAGGGGAATGTAATACTTTGCAAGTCAAATTAAATCTGAATGAACAACCTCTGCATTTTATCACCAATGAACAGTGTTGGGACTAACGTATAACGCAACTACTTTTTGCGGTAACTAATAGCGTTACTAGTTACCTATTCCCATTAAGTAACACCGTTATAGTTACTTTGATTTAAATGGGTGCGTTACTGCGTTACATTATGTGATGGAACTGAACCATCTCCCTGCGGATGTAATTTACAGGCGAATACAGCGATGTCCTCTCACAGCACCTTGGACAAGTGAAAGTAACCAGAGAGGAGTGATGATTGGTTAACGCGGGGTAACATTTCAGGGTAAGCCAATCAGAGACAGAGTTGAGCGGATCTTTCCTTATGGGGAAAATACACACACACGAACACTTGCTAATGCTAACACACACGGCAACGCTCACCAACAGCTGGCAGCACACACACACACACACACACACACACACACACAC